TGCCACTTTCATGCAGAGGCCATTCATTTATTTATTCTCCCCCCCCCACTTTTTTTTTTTTTTGAGAGGTTTTTACCTTAGGGTGCATGCACTCATGGCATAGAGGGGAGACACAGACAGTGAGAGGGAAAATGAAGTCACCCCTGGGGAGGATGGCCACACTGCAATCCCTTCTTCTGCGTTCTCCTCCAGGGACCTTGGGCATGCGCACACATGTACCCGATGTGAGTTACAAACCATGGGGTCCAGGACTCAAACCACGGTCTGCCATATGGAAGTCCAGCGACATAACTGCTAAACCATCTGCTGGCCCTATTCGCCTCTTTTTAAATATAATTGCCTTAAGTATTTCCTCTTCATACATTAAGCAAAAAAGATGTTGTTGTATTTTTGCTTCAGCCATCACATATAACTTGAAAAATCATATTTCAGGCTTATGAGAAGGATAGCCTGCCATATGTATTTTAAGAGAGATTTTAATCTGCTGTCACTCGAGTTAGTGTTCCCCTATAACACATCATTTCTCTCTGGCCTCTTTCAAGGTTTTCTCCCTTTAGCTTCAGCAGTTTAGTTATGAGGTGTCTTGGTATTGATTTCTTTGGTTTTATCTTATTTGTCAGTTTTTTAATCTATAGGTCTGTATCTTCTGAGAAATTTGCTAAGTTTCAGCCATTATTTTGTTGATGGCTTTTTAGACTCCTCTTTCTCCTCTACTTTTTAAACTCTGATGGTATAAATGTTAGCTTTTTTTCCTCATTGCCTTACAAGCCCACCAGACTCTGGTGCTGTCTTTTGTCTATTTCTCTCTATCGAGTTATTAAATGATACATATTTGTCCTCAGGTCACTGATTCTACCTCCTATCACCACCACTTCATTACTGAATCAATTCAGTGACTTTGTATTTTGGTTATTATATGTTTTAGTTACATAATTTCCATGTTTTTCTTTGCTTTCTTTTTTTCTTTTTGCCAAGATTTCTGTTTTCATTTGTTTCAAGTGGACTCATAATTGATTATTAAATCATTTTATGATGGCTGCTTTAGAATCCTTGTCAGGTCATTCTAACCCCTTATCCGTCTCACTGCTACTATCTGCGGATTGTTCTCTCTTCACATGCTAATTGCAGTCTTCCTGGTTCTTGACATGACACAGATGAGAAGTCTGCGCCAACTACAAAGCTACGTGTCAAAGTCTCCGGGACTACTCTCACTTTTACACTTGGTATTAGCCAAAAGGCCAAGAAACAATTGAGGTTTTCCTCCCTCTGACAGCAGGCTCAAGGAGTTCATAAAATAACCTTCATTTTCAATAGTTCACTTGAACACCACCAAAAACTCTTTCGAAGCTATTATACTTATGGATAAGATTTATTACAGGGAAAGGATATAGATTAAAATCAGTTAAAATAAGAGAAATGGAGCAGAATCCAGGAGTGTTCCAAGCACAAAGTATTCACGATCTTCTCCCTGTGGAGTCATTCCACGTTACTTCCTAGGCATCAATGTGTGATAATACATACAAAGTATTGCCAAGCAGGTGGCCGAAAACATGCTGAGGGCATCGAGGTTTCTGCCTGAATTTCTGCTTGTGTACAAGCTTCAACCCACCCCAGCTAGAGCAGGCCTCTGGCAACTACCCTCTTGGGGAAATATGAAAATGGAATCGACTATGGAATAGGAGGATGGGATGAAAGGTCAACTCCTCGTACAGGATTCCTCATTGGAACTATGGTCCATGTTGGGGGAAGTAGGCATGGTTTTCCCATTGGTGTAGTACCAAGAAAATTCTGTTAACAGGCTTTGTTTACTCTCAATTCATGTATCTACAATTGTGCTGTGGCCATTCTTGCAGCACCACTTCCTTTCCTGGCTTTCCAGAATTCATTAAGGATAGCTCTATTCCTTTCATTACGATTAATTCCTAATTGTTATTTTACACATTTATACAAAAGTGCTTGGCAAAGAACCTTTTCAAAAGTTGTGCACTGGCCTCCAGAATGCTGAAGGGTCAGAAAATTGGCAGATTCTAGGCTTCCATTTCAGGACAATAACATTTTTCTAGGCTGAGAGCTGACTGATAGGCTGGTGTTTCTGGTTGCAAAAATGAAAAGACTTAGCCCTGAGGCTTTCCTAGAGCAGAGGCTCTGAACTGGCTGCATATCACAATCACCTGGGGGCTCTTTCAATCATGCCAGTGCTACTCCACTGAAGTGGAGATGATGTTCTGATTTATTTTAGAGTGAGCATGGGCACCCATATTTTTAAAAATCTCCCCAGATGATTCTAACATGCAACCAGAATTGAAAACTTGAGAACAAATACCCTAAGAATTCTGCAGAGTTCTGGGAAGAAAGAACAAGGAAAGGCCAAGGACTAGCCAAGTGCAAATTAAGGTGCCTGTGAACAGTAAATTCAGCCATCATTCTCCTGGGGACCTTCCATGTGCAGACCCAGCTTGCACTCCGGGTGCAGTTTCTGTCCCTTCCACTGAGGTGTCCACATGATAGAAACCAAGGAAGATGTGCTCAAGGCCACAACAGTACGAAGGGGAACAAGGAAGAAGGTCCCTGCCCAGGCATGTCAGGAAATGCATTCCAGAGAAGCGGATATTTGGGCGGTACGTTGAAGATTGAGTGGAACTTGGATAGGCGGTGAAAGATCAGCATCTTAGCCACGGGGCACCCTGGCTTGTCCCACAGCATGTCACAACAGTTTATTTACTTCTGAACGTACATTGCACTTAGCATGTGCATGTGCTACGCACTTTTCTGAGCAATTGTACTAGAAGTATCTGTTAGATTCTCCTGGAGGAACTTTTCAAATGCAGATTCCTAGGTTCTGGGGACAAGATCCACACGGGTTTTGTTTTGGTTTTCATTTTTGAAATTAGCTCCCTAAATGATTCTGATGCCCACTATTTCTCTCCCATTCTTTCACACACACCCCATTTTAGATGAGTTCTGTGGGGCTGGGGGAGACCTATTTATAGCATTTGTTGATTTCTGTGGGGGTGAACACTCCCCTAATAGCCAGTTTCCAGCTACCAATAGTTAATTCCTGAATATTTAACCATCAGCTCTCACCAGCTACTAAGGGTTCACTCTAGCACACCAATACCATGTATTTCTACTTTCTCCCCACTGGTTAACAATCACTGTATTACAAGAACATGCATGGTTTTAAGATAAAAATACTACAACCATCAAATCAAAACCTGCTAACAGCTTGTACTATAATAAAGTTAATTTCGTAAAAACACAAATAATTCTTGTACAAATAATTCTCAGAGCAAACATGGTAGTACACATTTGGGGGATGGAGACCATACACTGGAGACAGTTAGGTTCCTACCATGTCTAAGCAGTGGGATCTGCTACTTGCTGTCACTTTAACACTTGCTTGTGTCTCTAAAATCTCAAGCAAAGTCTCTCCTTTGCTAAAATAGTGGCATTCTTAACTTTGAGACCTCAGGATGACTCTAAACTTATATTTAATATAAAAACATTTTTAATTTTTAAATTGTTTTACAATTTTTACTCTCAGAGTGTGTGCACTTGATAGAGACAGAGGGAAGACACCCTCAATAGCATATGGTCACACCATAATCCCCTTTCCTCCATTAAATCTCCTGCCATGCCTGTAGTTGGCTACAATAAATTCATGCCAAGGATTAAGGAATTCCTTTAGCATTTTCACAGCTTTGACCACACAACATATACCTTCCAAAAAGATAGCCAGGTGGTGACGGAACCGAGTTGTGCTGTAGGAAGGGAAAGTGGCTGAAGATGTGGGGCGTGGGGGAGAGGAGATGGGGGCACAGACACAACATGGTTTTGGAGACCTTCAAGACCAGCATGGGGAAGAGGGTTTGCATGCAGCAATTACTTACTGTTTAGGATTTGGGACACATCACTCTTCTCTCATAAGCCTCAGGTTTCCTCTTTGTATCAGGTTTTTGCTATTAGGATTAGTCAGTTTCTTCAGTTGCAAGCAACAGACATTAATGCTAATTATGCTGAAGCAGCAGGTATGTACTTCTCATTTATAGCTTTCCAGTACGCCACCTCCACTCTCCCTACTCCACCCCAACCCATGAACACTGAGGACAGGCCTCACCTCCTTCCCAATGTGGCCAACAGCTGTGTGTAATCCCAAGGGAAGGAACTACATTCTGGCCATTTCTCAGTCTCCAGCACAGGGCCTGGCACACAGTAGGTGCTGGTGAGTGTTTTGGGTTGTTGACTAATAATTAGGAGCCATGTTTGTTTGCCCTTCTGGAAATAATCATGACCTGGATGGGGAGACCTGCTCAACCACCAGCATTGGGTTGTACCTCTTCCTCTCTGGTCCTCAGTTCCTCCATCTCTACGCGAGGGAGACAACTACATGATTTCTAGAGAAACTCTGGTTCCTCCACTATCCCCTGGGCTTAGTGGCTCTGCTTTCTGACTTTGAAAAAATAGCTGCAATACTGGCTGGAATCAAGAGATGGGCCACTGATGGGCAGAAATGGCCTCTTACACAGAGATGTACAAAAGGCACAGTGGGCTGCCATTTTGAAAGGGGGAACAATAAAGGAATGTCAGTGAGAGCACCTGGGGTGATTGAGCCATGACAAAGTTAGGAGCAAACAACTGTCAAGAGCAAAAACAGGCGACAGAAATTGGACACCTGGTGGTGAGTCTCCACCAACCTACCATTTAACTAAGTGACCCCAGCTAGTGCCGTAATCTGAGTCATTTCTTCTGGGCTGGTGGGTGAGCAAGCAATGTGGACTGTCTGTTGAATCAGGTTTTGAACTCAGAGGAGGTAGCATAATAGGAAGTCACACTGGGTTCTGAGATGTCACCCTCCTGAGGTGGGCAGAGAGGGTTGGAATCAGTAATGGGACCCCCTTCCCCACCCAACACACTCAGCAGAGAAAAAGGTACTGATATTTCTAAATCCAACTCCCCACCACCTTCTGCTATGAGGGCGAGAAATCCAGACTAGACAAGAGCCATCGCACATTAAAGTTTTATGTGAAATTCCATAAATGTGTATAGAGGGGCCTCTGGTTGCCTGCCCACCAGGCCCTGCTTGTTGGGCACCACCCCTCAGCACTTGCTGTAGATGGCTGTGCTGCCCCGCTCCTCAAACTCTTCCTTGCTGACCCAGAGCTGCTGGAAGGCCTGCAGGGAGGCCAGGAAGGAGCCGCCGGGCCAAACAGAAGTCTTCCTCTCAGGAGCAGGCGCCGGCTGTGCTGCCCCGCTCCTCAAACTCTTCCTTGCTGACCCAGAGCTGCTGGAAGGCCTGCAGGGAGGCCAGGATGGAGCCGCCGGTCCACACAGAAGTCTTCCTCTCAGGAGCAGCAGCCACTGTGGGACTGTCCCCGGGGCAGAGGAGGCTCAGCTCCCTCTGGAAGCGCTCGGGGAAGCCATCAAGCATGGTGCAGCCGCCGCACAGCAGCACGTTGGCAGCCATCTCTTCCTTGAACCCTGTCTCATGGCAGCGACCCAGGCAGGCAGCTGTGAGCGCTGGGAGACCTAGCTGGTTACAGCCCATTAGGGAGGGCTTGAAGAGCATCTCAGAACACCGGAAGCGCTCCTGGCCAATGGTGATAACCTTGCCATCAGGAAGTTCGTAGTCTACTCGCAGATCCTCCAGGCCCAGTCTGAGCTCTTCTTCCGGCAGGAGAGCCGCATAGCAGCACTTCTTCTTGATGTGCTCAATGATATGCAGGTGGTCATCTGTGAACTTGTGGCCTGCCTCATTGAGCAGCTGCATTAGGTAGTTGGTGAGGTCACTCCCAGCGTAGTCAGCACGGCTAGTCAGGCCTGGCAGCAGGTCACCCTCTGAGATGGGCACCACGTGTGAGACGCCATGGCCACACTCCACCACCAGCCCTGAGGTCTTCCCATATGAGTAGATGGACAGCAGTGACTGGGATGTCACATGCATGGCAGGGATGCCAAAGGTCTCGAACATGAGCTCCGCATACTTCTCCCGGTTGCTGCTGGGGCTGAGTGGTGGGTCGGAAACCAGCACAGCATGCTCCTCGGGCAGAATCTTCATGGCTGTGTGGAAGATGTACTCCCAGATGCTCTGGACACAGTCCCAGTCCACTACGATGCCATGCTTCAGCGGGTTAACCAGCTTGGGAGGCACCTCCATGTTGAGCAGCTCATGACCCACATAGGTCTCCTTGCGGGTGTCACCAGCATCAGCTGCCTCGGGACAGCACTTGCCCACAGTGGAGGAGATGAAGTAGGTGGGCCGCGGCTCTCCCGCGTAGCCACACTTGCAGTACTGGGAGCCCAGGTCAATGATGAGCGCCTTGATCTTACGCACCTTCTTGGGCTTCATCTTCAGCTGAGTGGCTGAACCTGTCTCTCGGGGATCAGCATCAGGACCTGGTAATGGTCCTGCCTCTCCAGGGTCACCCTGAGCCGTGCCCATGGGCTTGGGGCTAGGGTTGTTCCTTGTCGCCATCTGCCTACCTTCCTCACCTTCTCACATCCACACCCAAGAGCTCGTTGGGGAGAAGAGAGCCCAACTTCAGCAGCACCGTGGCGACCACTCAGAATTGTGATGTCACTGGACTGGGCCACTCAGGCAGGCCAGGGAGGGGTGGACTTTGGCAGGCCCTTCCACCCCTTACCCACCAGCTATGGTTTGCTCCATGACAGAGCAGATGGCCAAGAGTTTAAGAAATCCAAGCTTACTGGGATCTCAGAGGTTTTTGCTCCCTCTCCGGAAATCCAAGCACACTGGGATCTCAGAGGTTTTTGCTCCCTCTCCCCTCACTTGTCTGCACTTAACCCCCTGCCTATAACCGAACACCTTTTTTCCAGTTTCTTGGCAGAGAGGGTGATGAATATTTGAGCCCCTACAGTCAACCAGACACTATTTCAGATACTGTATTTACATAATTTTGTGCAATCCTGGGAATAGACAGAACTGAAGAATTAGAGGCTCAGAATTCCAATGACTTGTCCAAGAGCTATTTGCTCTTGGAATATCTATATTTTAAACCAAGTTCATTCAACTCCAATCAAGCAGTAGGCCTCTTAGAATGTTTTAGATCCCCAAGAGTACTTTCCTCCCTTCATTTAACATTGACTAAGGTCCAGCTCAGTACAGCCTGAAGGAGAGAGGTGATAGAAATCCTGGATATAAGCAGTGCCCAGTTTAGGTAGAAAGAAGATAGAATTTTGCTTGGGCACAGACAAGGGATTCAGCCTCCCCCCTTTATCACTCCCAACATCTAATCTAATCATCTAATCTGAGTGTGATGTTTAAGGCTAAAGAGGTCCTAGGAGCCAGTGAGGGAAGGTCTCACATGTCAGAGTAAGAACTTGGGTTAAATTGAGGATGCTTGGGGAACCAACTGATCAGATTTTACCTTAAAGCCATAAGTGGGGAGGGTACAGCATCCCCACAAAGTCTGACAACATAATTCACCACTAGCTTTCGGCCAGCCCCAGCTCAGTAGCATGCCTGGTGTAGTTAGGCAAGTCTGAGAACTTAAACCTTCCCAAGCAGGTCTGCCTTGCAGAGTGTTGCACTTTACTGCCATACCACTGCCCAGCCCCTAGATTCTACCTTATAACTTTTCTAGAACCTGTTTCTTACTGTTTTCCACATGATCACAACTAACTCAGGCTACCTTCCAGACTTAAAATAATTTCTTCATTGGCCTCCTATCAGGTCTCAGCTTCTAATCTTGTCCCACCTCTACCTCCATTCACTCCCTACCTTAGAGCCAAACAAATCTATTATGTTGTTAGGAAAGTCATGACATATTTTTCTGTTTTTCTATGCGAAAATGTGTCGTGAGTTTCCCAACAAACCAATGCAATTTTTTCTACATGGCAAATCAGGTCACTGTTTGCTTAAAGTCTTGATTGGCTCCCCCGTCCTCAATTTAATGCAAGCTTAATCCTAGCATTTGAGGTCTTCCCTATTTCCTGATCTCTTTAGTGTCAAACGCTTAACTACTGAAGTTCCCCACTGTACCCACTTCAGATCCTTTGTGTAGGCAGTGCTCTCTGCTTGGAATGCCTTTCCCTCCTTTTGGCTACTTGATAGATACTTGGATGTTTTTCAGTATTCAACTTAAGCATCACCTCCTGAAGGTCTAGAGGACCTTCAGACACCCCTTCAATAGGGTCTTTTTTTTTTTTTCCATTTTGCACCTCTATTCTTCAAGAAGACTTCTACCTGCAAACTATCTTCTAAATAGAAATTTCTATCTTCTTCCTACCTAAACTGGGCACTGCTTGTGGCCAGGGTGTCTATCATCTATCCCCTTCAGGATGCACTAGATTTTCCCTTTTTTTCCTTCCTAAAGCTGCTAAAATTACAGAAGCCCAAATACACACCTTAGAAGGCTGGTCACAAGTGGGGTTTGTGTGTGCCAGGCTGTAGATGTCTCAGTTGCAGTGCACCAGCATTCTCCACCTTGATACTACTGGGTGATGGCCCAGAGAGGGAGAGAAGAAACACCAAGGGTACCATGGAAACTAAGGGAAAAGAGGGCTTCAATTAGTAGTCTGCAGGTGATATTCTGGGAGGTGAGGTAAACAGATGACTTTATCCCAGAGAATATGAGGATAGTCCAGTTCCTGTGCTCATGGACCTTACACATTGGATGGAAGGCTTGGCCTTAAACTAGCGCACTGCCTCTTCCATCCATGAATACAGAAAGGGCAATGATAGAAGGGCAAGACTGGGTGGCCCAAGAAGAGCATGTGAATCAGAGCATGTCAGGCCTCAAGAGTCCTCACGAAGAAGGATAACAAAACTCAAGTAACAAGGTCTCCCAAAGAGGTCCACATCTTAATATCTGGAACCATGAATATGCTACCTTTTATGCCAAAAGAGACTTTGCAGATGTGATAAATTAAGGAGTTTAGAATAGGGATGGTTGTCCTGCATTAGTTCTGTGGGCTGAATGCAATCACAACGGTCCTCGTAAGAGGGATACAGAAGGGTCAATGTCAGAGAAAGAGATGTGACAAGGGAAGTGGAAGCCTAAGAGGTCTTTGAAGATGGAGAAAGAAGCTATGAGCCAAAGTAGCAGAGCAGCCTCTAGGAGCTGGAAAAGGCAATGAGAAGGATTATCCACAAGAGCCCAAAGAAACATGGCTTTCATGACGCCTTGATTTTAGCCCACTGACTGTCCACGTCTAACCTCCAGACTGTAAGACAATCTGTGTTGTAAGCCACTAAATCTGTAGCACTCTACTAGAGCAGCAGGAAATTGAGGTTCTTACAGAAATCCAGGTTAGCAAAAAGGTCCTAAGCAATGGCAGATTTCTAGGAGTTCAAGGAGGCAGCTCAGGAGGAGAAAAGTTGATAATTCTAAATTAAATAGACCTTTGGTTTTAAGTTCTTTTGAAAAACAGTCAAGCAATCTGAGTTGACCTTACAAATCTTTGAACAACAGAGGCAAATAACCGATTTTCCAGGCAGCTAGGCATAAAAAGTCCTTTCCTGTTTTTCCTTGCAAATTCAGTGCTATTATTTCATCCACTACCAATTGAGGCAAGCAGTTGTAATTTTACACCTGAGGTGATAGCTTGGCTGCTCCCATCAGATACTCTCAAAGCTCATGAGACTAGATTTGGTCCTTTTCTTCTGTTGCACTTCCCAAGAAGCCAGAACACTCCCAGTAATCTTCTTAAAGGAGAAAGTCCATCCCTGTAGTGACTGCCTTTTTTATAAAGAGCACAGAGGTAAGGGGTCTAGTCCAAGATGCTGCATAACATAAGGTTAGATTCTGGGTACTCTGAGTGTGCAGGCACCAGCACGAGTGTGTCTAGCTTCAGAGATGGCATGAAAGAGGGTGGCCAAGCAGTCTGAATGCATGTTAGATCCATTAAGGTGTCCACACACCTGGGAAGAAGCCCAGAGAACTTAGTCACTCCTGGCTAGACAGCCTTGGGTGAGCCTCAATGTTCTTACCAGTATTGGGTGAGCCTCAATGTTATCAGTAGGACTTGGTAGGGTCTAATTTCACTACTTATGACTGACAAAGGAGGAGTAGGTATACAAATGTATGCTCCAAAATCATTCCTCTAAGATCATCCTAAGTGTCATGTCCCAGGTTAGAAGTCACATAGCAACAATGGATCCTATTAAAATTTCAATCAGGGGACCAGCAGTTAGCGTAATGGCTATGTTGCTGGACTCCCATGTAGTCGACCGTGGTTTGCATCCCGGACCCAGTGGCTTAAAACTCACGCCGGGCGGATGTGCATG